GATATTAACATAATAAAGAAGTTTAAAGAATAAAGTTTTATAAATAATTAATTTAACTCAAAAGTGTGGTATAACTCACTTTCAACTCGTACATATTTTTGACATGATTACAATTTTACATGTTTGTAAGTGTCAGACATGGATGGACAGGAGTGTTGTATCTGAGACATTCAAACACCCAGACTTACCAATTTTTTGTTTTAGGCATAACAAAATTTCGGTACTGTTTTTCAATGTCACAAGAAACACTGTGTGGGAATGGGGTAAGTGTTTACAGTTTACCAAGAGATACATCTCTTTTGGCCCCAAATATTAGTCATGAACCCAGAATCCAAATAATCCTGGACCGTTTCCTGCTACAAAGCATTTTTGTATTAGTTATGAGAAAAAAATACTAGAAATATAATAAGCCGATTAATCAGGCACAGGAAGTCTCTTGTGAAGTTGGCTTAGTATGGTTTTGTGCAAAGGGTTTTTTTTCTCGTGGTTGACAAGATAAGCTCTCAACAGTTGTCCATGCTACAAAAATGACTCATGATTGCTTTGGGCGTATCATTTGCTTCACTTGTTACTGATCTCTGAAGCTTTCAATCTGTTCTATTTCAGTGAAGTCCCATTTGTATTAACTGTAATTTTCTGAGACATTCAAACACCCAGACTTACCAATTTTTGGTTTTAGGCATAACAAAATTTCGGTACTGTTTTTCAATGTCACAAGAAACACTGTGTGGGAATGGGGTAAGTGTTTACAGTTTACCAAGAGATACATCTCTTTTGGCCCTGAATATTAGTCATGAACCCAGAATCCAAATAATCCTGGACTGTTTCCTGTTACAAAGCATTTTTATATTAGTTATGAGAAAAAAATACTAGAAATATAATAAGCCGACTAATCAGGCACAGGAAGTCTCTTGTGAAGTTGGCTTAGTATGGTTTTGTGCAAAGGGTTTTTCTTCTCGTGGTTGACAAGATAAGCTCTCAACAGTTGTCCATGCTACAAAAATGACTCATGATTGCTTTGGGCGTATCATTTGCTTCACTTGTTACTGATCTCTGAAGCTTTCAAGCAGTTCTATTTCAGTGAAGTCCCATTTGTATTAACTGTAGTTTTCTGAACAATTTATGACTTGGCCTATCTAAGGATAAAATAAATATTGTTTCCGAAAGGCGTTGATAAGTAATATGATGATTTTGGTGCTTCTAGACAAATTATTAGCTTTTTTTAATGTGACTGCACGTGTGTAATTATTTTTTGTCGTGACCAGCTGCACAGCCTCCTACAAGCAGTCAAGAGCTGGACATCTTTGGATTTTCAGCATCAGATTCTGCAGATCCGTTAGCGCTGGTACCAGGGAATTCTGTCAGTTCTCCATCTGATACACAAGCAAGTACAGTTTTTGGAACAGACTTCCTAGTCGCCCCCTTATCAGCTTCCCCTACTTTGAGCCAGGTAAATTCGACATTTAACACATGGCATTTCAACTAGATGCACCAAGTTACATTCAACAAATAGTTGCATTCTTCTTATTTATGCACTTCAAACTCTTGATCATAGTCAAAAAAATAACCATATAATAACTCTGAACGAGTTTTGAAGGTCAAGCACCTATTGCTAGCATGTCTGATGGAATATTTATCGTAACATCTTTCGCACATCGCGTTATATCTGTTTAATAATTTTCTACTAGCTGCATTCTTCATTCTTACCATTACTACATCTCAGCTATGGGAAGAAGGCATTATACAACTTTTTTTTTTAATTTTTCCTGTTTGCCCCTTTGTTTTCCACTGGAATAAGCATGATGGTTGTTTTGATCTTATAATGCAGGCTTATGAAGACCCTTTTGGAGATGCTCCTTTCAAGGCTACACCGCAGGAAAATAGTCAAGCTCAACCTCAGCACCCCCATCATGTCACTTCTTTTCAGCCTTCTGTCTCAGTTGCTGGCACTGAAGGTTCTCCACCAGCACACCAAACAGCAGATGCATTTCCTAGCTTTAATTTTGGAGATGCATTGGATGGCCTTACTTATGCTCCCGCCGCTGTTACTGGCCGACATGATTCTGCCAGTCCTTCCTTTTCGACAAATGAGTTTCCTGGGGAACAATCCAGCAACGATATTCTTGATTCCATCCTACCACGGAATGGATCTGATCCTATGTTCTCATCACAGGATAGCCAACCCGCAGCTCAAACTTATGTGCAAACAACTCAAATGAACCCCTTCCATTCTGCAGGGCTAGCTGATCCAGTAGTTGCACATGGATCGTCACCTAATGCACAGATGGATCAAATGAACCCCTTTCAGCCTACAGGGGGTTTGGCTCCTGTAGCTGCACAAAGCTCATCACCACATCCCCAGATGGCTGAAATGAACCCCTTCCAGCCCTTAGCATTGCCAGCTCCAGCGGCTCCGCAAGAGTCAGCAAGCACACAGGGCTTCTTCCCAACTGCTGGTTCGCAAGCTTCCCTAGAACTAGCAGCCAATTTGCAGACAACTCAAATGAATTCCTCCCATCAACAAGGTTTATCAATGCCGGCAGCTTCTCAAGGATCAATCCCTAATATGCATACATCTCAAATGAACTTCTTTGAGACATCAGGACTATCAGCTTCAGTGGCTCCACAAGAAAGCATAACCAACATGCAGACAACTCAAGTGAATTTCTCCCAGCATTCAAGTCTACCAGTTCCAGCAGCTTCTCAAGGATCGCACCCTAATATGCAGAAATCTGAGATGAACTTCTTCCAGCCATCAGGGACACCAGCTTCAACTGCTTCACAAGAACCATTAACCAATATGCAGACAGCTCACATGAGTTTCCCTCAAACATCAGGGCTCTCAGTTCCAGCTGCCTCTCAAGGATCACCAACTAATATGCAGACATCTCAGATGAACTTTATCCAGCCATCCGGGCTATCTCCATCGGCTTCCCAACAATCACAAACAAATATGCAGACAGGTCACATGAATTTCTTCCAACCATCTGGGTTATCAGCTTCTGCAGCTTCACAGGGATTGCACCCAAATATGCAAACAAATCAACTGAATTTCCTACAGCCATCAGCGTCAGTGGTTCCAGGGTCTACACAAGGGTCACAGACACATATGCCGCCAGCCCAACCAGATCTCCTTGCACCATCAGGCTTACCTGTTTCAATGGCTTCCCAAGGATCACAAACGAATATTCAGTCTACTCAACCAAGTTTCCTCCAGCCATCAGGGCTATCAGCTCCCGTATCTTCATATGCAGCTCAAGGTGCAGCATCTCGTAATATACAAGCAGCTCAAACTGGAGCTTCATCTAATATGCAGACAAATTCCCAGCTTGGTTCTCAGCCAATGATGTCAGATCCTTTCGCTTTGCAAATGGTTACATCTTCAGCTGGACCAACAACAAAACCTAATCCATCAAAGGGAAAGTTTGAAACCAAATCAACTGTTTGGGCTGACACATTGAGCCGAGGTCTAGTCAATCTGGATATATCTGGACGTAAGTGCTTTCGATATGTCTTTCTATTTTCATCTAAGTATGTCCTTTGTTGACATTTTATCTTATATCATTACCTCACAAAAATCCATTCTGCTCCACATCATGGTGATGTTATAGGAGTCATTCCCATCAAAGCAAAACGCTTAAAGCTGAGAAACCTTCACAAGGGGAAAGAAGGGGAGAATGGAAATAAAGGAAAAGAATTGACCTGAGGTATAGGACTTATTATCAATCCTAAGTCTAACCTGTGAGGTTTGTTATCAAACTATGGATGAAGACAACTATGAACAATAAAAGGAAGGACGTACAATATAAACGTATAGTTGTCACTCCCGAAAAAGTGGATACTCTTACATGGAAATATCGAATGTACAAGCCTCTCTAGTAGTTCATGTGAACTAAAGAATTAATTAAAGCTGTAGTTGAAACTATATTGGTATCTAGGTTACCTGGACACTTCATCTACGCTCCCGCATCCGTGTTCAGCACTTCTCGTGTCTGTGTCGGAGTCACTCTTGGACACTTCTTGAATATATATATACATTTATTCAGCTGTGTACTCAATTATATAAGACATTTTTTAGTTTAAAAAACTCATGATACACTTTTTTAATGTATATATCGTACACTGCACCTCAATTTTATGTGACTCATTGGACTCAGGACAGGTTCGTTTTAGCACTTACTTAGTTCACAAGTATGATTTTAAAGGGTCGTTTGGCATCTAGTTCAAAAACGAGTGATTTTTCAATTTATAATCTACTCGATAAAGGAAATATAAAAATGGTGTAAAGATTTCAGTTCTCATAGCATGTGGATGAAAAACAGAATCGATCTCATATAGATTGTTAATTTTAATATGTATGTATATAGCCGTGTCTCCTTATTCTAACTTTTGCAATTTTGCTGTGTCCCATATCTGCGCCCTTGTCCGTGCAACATAAATTGGTATTTGTGCTGAATATTATGATGGTTAATCTTCTGGGCAGTAAAAACTGTTGTTAGGTGGTCCCAGGTAGCAGAATGGATGACCTTCTAGGAAGTCCTTGTAGTAAAGGAAACATGAAAGTGGTATTAAGATTTTAGTTCTCATAGCATGTGAATGAAAAATAGAATCGATCTCATATAGATTATTAATTTTAATATGCATGTATATAGCTGTGTCTCCCTATCCTAACTTTTACAATTTTTTCGTGTTCCTCATCCGCACCTGTGTCCGTGCAACATAGATTGGTATTTGTGCTGAATACTATGATGGTTAATCTTCTGGGCAGTAAAAACTGTTATTAGGTGGTCCCAGGAAGCAGAATGGATGACCTTCTAGGAAGTCCTTGGAATAATGGCTAACTGGCAAGTACGACTTCATTTCACGGGCACGAAGTCTAGCCGCGTGCAAATGGTAATTTTCAGGGATAAAGAAAGATTATCAAACCCAGATGGAGAAGTACTGTAATATGATTTACTTCAGGAAACCACTTCCATCCTTAAGCCATAAAACAAGCTAAATTTGCCAAAGAGAAATCGTACAACAAGAATAAAGCAGGTTTAAATCCTTTATTTCAAGTGTATATGGTTGCTGGAGGAATCCTTCCTCTTTTATTTTTCATCGACATCTGACCATGTTTTATGCTCACTGAAGATAAGCTTTCCATTTGCATAAATAAAGGTGTTCTTTGCTTCCAAAGAACTGACCATAGGAGAAACTGAGCAAGGTGTTGCTTCCCTACTTAAGCGCAGAAACATTTTATTCTGCCATTGTTTAGTAAACTCTGTATTTTCCCTCTTTATTCTTTACTTTGGTTTCTCTCAATTTTCTCTTTGAAGCATGCACAATTGCAGCTTGTTGATATTTTGTTTCATCATCTCGCCCGATTCTGTTAGTCCTGATAGCATTGAACTTTTATAACCTTCTGCAGCTAAAACAAATCCTTTGGATGATATTGGTGTGGATTTCGATGCAATCAATCGTAAAGAGAAAAGATTGGGGCCAAAAACCTCAGCACCACCAGTTACATCTACCATCATCATGGGAAAAGCTATGGGATCCGGCTCCGGCATTGGTCGATCTGCTGCAACCGGGCTTGCGCCCCCTTCAAACCCCTTGATGAGCTCTGGCATGGGCGGCATGGGTGGAGGTGGAGGCATGGGTATGATGGGCATGAGAGGCGTCGCTGGCATGGGCATGGGTGCCGGTGGCATGGGCATGGGCGCCAGTGGCATGGGCATGGGTGGCCATGGCATGGGTATGGGCGGGTATGGTGGAAACATGAACCAGCCACCCATGGGTATGAACATGGGCATGGGAATGGGTCCTGGTGCACCAATGCAGCCTCCAGGTTCAGGCATGCCCATGCCAGGCGGCGGCGGCTACAACCATATGATGGGCATGGGGGGTTATGGCTCTCAGAATCAGCAAACATATGGAGGTGGTTATAGGTGAGAGATACAGGATTTGAAGAAAGGTTTCTATGTTGTGAAGTGATCCAAGAATTATACGCAGGATTGTACAATGTTTCTGATTTTATACACAAGGTTGCCCTGGATTATGGCTCCATTCTTCTGAGTCTTATTGAGCTTGTATAGTTCGGCTTCATACCGTAACATTTGTCCTCGGTCGGAGCAGCCTGCCTTGAGGTGTATTCTGTATTGTATCGTATTGAGGTAGTGTAGTTATTTCTGACAAATTACCGGTCACAGGTTTATTTTTCGATTTCTTCTCATAATCATTGTTTCTTAATGTTTAGGAAATAAGGATAATTATACCTCAATTTTTTGGAACTTTTGTTGTACATGAAAGTTAACTATCGGCTCTTTTGGTTATTCAATCATCTTTCATGATTTTCTGTACCTCTTCCAGGCTTGTTATATTCTGCTTCGAGCCTTTGTTTTTTTCTGATAGGCTTGTTATTTTCCATTTCACGTTTTTCTTTATATTTTTGGAACATTTTACTGCACAATTTAGGTATTGTTTGGATACCATGGTGTTGTCGTGGTTTCCCATGATGTTTTTTGCTAAATAAAATACCATGCATTTGGTAAGTATGATGTTTTTTGAGCTAAATAAAACATCCTTAAATAAAAAACATAACACTTATACATTTTTTTAGTTGTTTTGAGTTTGATGGGTGTAAATATAATATCCTAGCATAAAGTATTAAATATAATTGTTGATGGCTGATATCAAATAGTCAAATGAAAAAAATGATTAAGTCGACAGAGGTCCCTTAACTCTCCGAATGTCTGGTTCTGCAGTAGGTTGTTCTTTCCTGCACAAGTAGCAAACCGTAAGAGGGCGGGGTTGGGTTCTCTAGTTGTTCCTCCGACGAAAGTCGGTGATTTGTTTAAGTGGAGAACTAAAGTGAACTATAATAGTTCTTAAGCACAGTGGGTAGAGGTAAAGATCTTACCTTATTATTGAAAATAGTATCCTTATTTATAGTGGTGGTAGAAGGGTAGAATGGTAACTTTGGTCGAGTATGAGATGACAGCCACGTCAGCCTCTGCTTTACAGGTGTCAGCCGACGAGTGGAGGTGATGTCACTTCGGTATTTAATACGAAGTGATTGGGGGTGTGCGGTGCCGACGTAGCCCGATGTGTTATAAAGACTATTAGCGACAAAAGAATGATGATGCTCATAATATATTTAATGACATTTATTACGAGGTAATTGGTTGCCAATACACGTGGTGGGGGGCGTCAAGACTCAAGGTATTTCATCGTCTTTCTACTCGTCAAGTGGTCGAGAAGTACCACCCTTTGAGTCGCCTTCGCAAGATGTTGGTCGATTAGACGGCCAGGTAGGTCGATCAGGGAGTTACCCAGCCAGAGGTCTACATGTAATGCCATTTGAGTCGTCCTCGCGAGATGTCGGCGTGTCGAGTCGTCCAAGCTGGGTCTTGGGTTATTTTGAAGTGTTAGCTCGATTACGCATAATGTGGGACACTTGCCTGTCCTTGATTGGATATTACTTTTCAACACTAGAATTTGAATGACTATAAGTCGGCGTGTCGAGTCGTCCAAGCTGGGTCTTGGGTTATTTTGAAGTGTTAGCTCGATTACGCATAATGTGGGACACTTGCCTGTCCTTGATTGGATATTACTTTTCAACACTAGAATTTGAATGACTATAA